ATGCCAAATCTATGAAAACCCAAGCCTTAGAACTTAAAAACAGTCAAAATGTCAGTTCTTCTGATTAAGGTGAAGTTGGAAGGACCAAGTGAAGAGCTATAATCATTTTCAAACAATACATGGGCTGACCAATTATTTAAAAAATATTCAAGGACAAGATATTAATACCGTTTAAAGAACTTTGACCCTTCAAACTCTTCCATTTCACAATCTTTTGGTTGCCATCTTAGCTTCTCAAAGGCAAAATCTTGACGCTGCATCAACCGGCAAGCCCACATTGGTGCTAGCCACTGTTTACAACCAAACCCAGAATATAAAGGCCGTCTATCATCTATAACCCATTTTCCTTTTGCATAATTACAGGCTGGAGAAGGATCAGATGAAATGAAAATCAATACTCAGTAATATTATCACAAATGGAACTTACAGATCCAAAATCTACAGGTGTGAGAAAGAGAGAGCATTAACATCATAACCACACTTAGCTTGCACAACACCCACTACATCACTAGGAAAATGACTAAATAATGAAGTGCACAATAGAAATTGTTACAAGAAATGGATGATATTACATCCATGTAATAGCATGCAAAACAAATGTGTGAGGTTTGGAAGAGGTAGCGAAAGCAAAATAGCTGAGATTTCCAACATTTGCTTTAAAAACCTTGATCAACATATATTGGTCAGACAAGGCCATATCAGTTACCTTGACAAATGCATTTTCTCCCAAAGCATAATATATATAACAACAAAATACTATCGGCAGAATTTCCTCTCTAAAATTTCCATAAGTGATCTCCTACAGAAATACGAAGGTGCAAAAGATGAATAAATCTTATCATGCATAGACAGTATTCTACCTTGATTCTCCACTCTCTTTTCTTCTTGTTCTGAAGTTTTTTCTCCTAAAATTACATTGTTTGTTTCTTCTATCTGTGTTGAACTTGATCCACTTTTAACAACACCAGTTTTCTCTCTTTGTGGACTGTATTTGTGTTTTGCTGTTTCTTCTTCTGCGCCACCATAAAAAATTACAAAGGTCAATCCCCAAAATACTATGACCTCTACCAGTAAAATGAAGAAAATGGCTGCATCAAGATCCAAATAATATTCATGGTAAAACAAGTGAAAAAACAAGGGTACTTGAGAGCACAAAACCATTCAGCATAGTAATAACATTAGAACTCAAGAAAACAGAACAGAAAATCTTGCTCTAATAATCAGTGATGACTTCACAGTCAGACAGATAGAAGCAGGAAAACAAGGGATCTCCCATGCCAATGAAATGCTTCATCTAACCGGGCAAATGCTCATAAAATCAGAGAGATCTATGAAAAGGAAAGAGTATCGACATTGGAAGATGGATACGTCAGCTTGAGGCCAAAATATTAAACCATGAGGCAATGAAAGTATAGGTAATGCTCACAAAAACAGGATTTACCATATAAGTATTCTAAAACATTAGCCACTGCAATATTCACAAATTTGATCTCTATTCTTGAGACAAACAGAAAAGTAGCTTGCCTTTCTTCTGAATAGGAAATGTTTCAAATTCTGAAGAACTTTTGGCAGTATCAGTAGAAGGTATTTTATCCACATGACGTTCCTCTTTGTTATTTATGACTTCCCTCTGTATCGACGTAGAAATATCCTCTCTCACATGGCTTTTGTGTTCTGCGCCAGATATTATGAGAGGAAGGAAAGCTTTCATGAGCATGTAAGTAGCAGTATTCTTATCCAGACATGCTTTCTACATTTCTAAATTCAAATGCTAGTCAAATATCTCTATTTTCTAGAAGGTTTAAAAAGCCATGACCAGAATAAAAAACAAATATCATTATTACTTGGCAATTGGCATTAACAGCTTTAACAGATGCTGATAAATATATAGTCTTCCAGCATGCCAAGCAATGTTGTAATCCCTATGCAGAAAGTTACAAGGCCTGATAATGCACTCTTTATAACCCCAACTAACTGACTCCTTTGACATTAAAATGTACATATATAGCATTAACCGGGAATATTAACAGAATGCAGAAGATAAAAGTAGCATGGGAAAGGAAAACATGACATATGAATATAACTTCATATTAGGGTTAGTTGTGTAAGCCTGTGAACCAAGCCACAGCCAAAATATGAATAGAAAAAAAATGCTTTAGTTAGTTACCACAATAAACAGAGTGAAAAACTGATGTATAGCACAGAGAAGAAATAAGATAGCTTCAAGCAAACCTGGAGAGAGCTGCAACAACTGATTTTTAGATGGTAGTGAGGAAGTAAGTACTGGACTTCTGTCCCATGTCCAAACAAGAATGGTTGCACAGACAAGAACAATGAGAATGAGAGACAGTTCTTTACCCCTCCATCTTAATCTGCAGGGGCCTCCTTTCATCCTACATAAACATGAAAAGTAAGGTTGTCAAAGTTTCACTAAAGGCAGAAAACAATTAGCACGGGGAGAGAGAGCAGAGAGGCTCAAAACTCAACGAAATTAAAAGAAAAAAAATTTCAGGTCTATTTGCAGCTCTCTTTGAGTAAATTAAAAATATAGCTACCAAGAATTAAGGTTGAAAGGAAAAAATGCCGTTCCTGCATCCAAAACAACTAACCATGATGTAATTATTAGAAAAGCTATTTCAGAAACTCTTTGCTTACTTTATGCTGATCCACTTAACAAAAGTTATATGTCAGAGATCCTATTGCTGCAAATTTACACAGCCATCTATTACAACTGCTAAATCTGCGGAGTGAGCATGAAATTCACAAAATGATAAGCTTAATCAAGTTATGAACATAAATGTTGGACTTCAGAGCACCCGAAACATGCTAAACCCATTGTTAGGGGATAGAAGACTCCCTTATCTAAGCCATTCAATGACAAACATTCGAAAACCATACGACCAAACTTACACACAACAGAGATTCCCACGCCATCTGCATAGAAATTCCAAATAGCTAAGCCAAACAAGCTTGCTTCCATGGGATGCTTCGAAGCCAGCAGATCCTATTCTAACTCACAACCGACATTACTAAACAGGAGAAGCACAGTTCTAAACATAATGTTAAATTTTACGCTAGAATCAAATTTCAACAATTAAATTATCATAACCAAAATTAACCACGTATTTCCTTATTTTCTAATCGTAATGCTAAGTTTTAAAATCAATTTTCCTCGTTAACTCAAAGCGAAATTAACAATCTTCGTGCACATCAGAGTAAATGAATGACAATGAAAGAATATTTAAAGGAAACAATATAATTGACAACGAAAACAGACAACGTCATTGAAGTCACAGTCAGCTAAACAAAAACACGAGAAAACGAAATTAAACATGAACAAAATTGCAATCTACGATTGAGTACGAACGATTCGGATCCAAACGCAGAAAAAAAATCCAACGGTTCTGATCTATAGTTAAATTTGAAAATGTTTATGGAAAATTGAATTGAAAAGCTTTGATTAGAGAGAGAAGTACCTGAAGCGCATGAATATCTGAACGAAACGAATTGTTTTTAATTTTTCTGTTTATTATTTTTAATGTGAAGGAAGAAGAAGAAAAACAAGGAAATGGAAAAATAAAATAAAAAGCAAAAGTGGGGGAGTAAAATAAATAAATAAAAATAAATAAAAAGAAGAGGGACAAAGGTGGTTGGTGGGTCAAGGGACGCGTCGGCTTTGAGGGAGTGATTGATATTTAACTGGAATGTGATTACGATCGCTGAGAATATAATTACAGGAAGGTGGTCGTTAAAAAGATAGTGTTATAATATTTAGTATAATATAAAAAAGTGGTAATTGTATAGAATATAATTACATTGTAATGTTTGATTTATAAATATTTTATTAAGAATGTTAAGTAAATTAATAAAATTATTTTTATGTATGAAAATATAAAATGAAATAATTTATGGTTTTTAATGTAAATTTTTAATTTTTTTAATTTTATTTTTGAAAATAATAAATAATAATATGATAAAAATAATATATTATTTAAATATTAAAATATATAAAATTAATAAATATTTATTTTTAATGAATTAATTAAATTTTAAAAAATTAAATTACTTAGTTAAATTATTTTATAAAAATATTAATTAATTAGTTAAGTTGTTTCACGAGCCACCACTTTCCTTCTTTTTTTTTTATCTTTCATTTTTTTCTCTTACTTCTTTCGACACCCATCTCCTTCCGGTGGGCTCTTCTTTTTATTTCCTTTTTTCTCTCCTTCCTTGTTGCTCTGTGGTGATTGGCCCTCTTCTTTTCTTCTCTTTCTTTTTCTTTTTCTCTCCTTCCTCCTTGCTTTTTGTTGATGGGCTCTTCTTTTTTTCTCTCTTTTTTTTTCTTTTTCTCCTTTCTCCTTGCTCTCATCGTCAGGTTCAAATGACGCCCCTCTCTCCTCGCTAGAGAGCTCAACTCGTGGGGCTTATGTCATATCGTGCGAGTTTAAAAACTCAATCATTAAATGTATTTAATTTAAGAGTCACTATTAATTTTTTTTATTTAGATATGATTGGTCATTTAATACATTTATTTTATTTGATAAAATTTTAAATTAATTTTAGGTTCATCGAAAGAATGATAAATTAGTTTATATATTTTGTTTAAAGTTGGATTCGGAAATACGATTACGCACAAAAAATGATTAGCACCATTATAACGCCTATTTCATAAATAGTAGTATTTAATCATATATTATCATAATCCATTAATTTTATGTTTATATTTCTTTAATTTGATTTATTTTATCTTTTATTCTGTTAACAAATTAAAATACTTTATTTGATTTTTTTGACGTATATGTTATGCAATTGTGACATGTATGGTATAAAATTGAGATAATGCCAAACGAAAATTTTTATTGAGTGTACTTTTTAAATCTGTCCATCATGCTAATGGAATCCGAGAGCATTCTCTTATATAAAAAAAATACCTGATAAACTTGTGAAAGTTTAACTAAGAGATTTCATCATTTGGTAATCGTTTCAAGTAAAAACAATGTTTTCTTGGATACAAATCATAATATGAGCAAAAGTATTTTATTAAAGATATTTCTTCGAACCCTCCTATCGTAATGATGAGATCCGGAATTATCTTTTCACCTAGGGAGTTTATCGAAAAAGCTTGCCTTCACGAGCTTCCTTAGAAAGTCCCATCATTGGGGTAGTCGTTTGCATATAAAAATAATATTTTTTCGTGAATGCAAATCTACTACGAACAAAATTTTTTTTATTTAAGATATTTCTCTGTACCCTCTCATTATACTAGTGGGATCCAGAGATATCTTTTCACTTAAGGAGTTTATTGAAAAAACTCACCTTCGTAAATTTTCTCAAAAAATCCCATCATCGGGGTTTATGCTCGTATGCATAATATTTCTATATGTCATGACATTTAACAATACAACCATGGTACGCGATGCACTTATAATTCTGATGTTTGTTCTTTATTTTATTATTCCTCTGTATGAGCATGTATACCATAACTGAATTTTTTATGTTTACTTGTTGCTCAGTTTTTATTTCGTTATGTATTTTGCTACGTAAATACTTATTTGTTTTACTATATGAAATTCTCCAAGATCATATTTTTAGACTAAGTTTTTTTTACTATTATTATTTTACCTTTTTTATTTTTATAATTATTGTTTATTTATATGTATTTTATCCTTTCTTTATATTATCATGATTAACAAATTTATTGTTACTATTAATTTCCTATTTCTTTTATTTATATATTTTCGTTAATTGGTGGGTATGCATTTTTTTTATTTAGTTAAAATTAGGAACATCGAAATTCTGAATTTGAACCCTCCCATCATATTAATGGAGTCTTAATTGAAATCCTTAATTTAAGAAAACTCACTCAAAATTACAACTTCTCGCGCTCCAAATAGACATCTCATCATCTGTCTCGATCCTAAATAACATATTTTATATTATTAGATTTTTTGTTTTTAAAAGCATAAACATTTTATATTTTTCTTTCTTCGTTTTGTAATTATAAATATTTATATTTCTATTACAAGTCAATAATGATTTAGAATATTATTATAAGTATTATTGAGATTTAAAAACTAAAATCCTTCCATCATACTGGTGGAGCTTTAGCTAAACCTCTTGCTTAAGAAAAACTAATCAAAGATTTCAACTCGTGCGAATATTGTATCACCGATATAACCTAAATAATATATTTTTATTTTTATTTTTACTTTATCGTATTTCTTTTATATGTATGTTTCCCTTTTTTCAAAAAATGCATTAATTTAATAATAATGTGCATATTTCCATATATTATTTTTATTCCTACATTGTTTGCTAATTGACAGAACTAACAACACCAAATAACTATATTAACTACCACAACTAGTAAAACTAGATAACTAACATAAAAAAATATAAACAGTGAACTCAAATTCAAATACACAAATAATTAAAAATAAACTAAAGGAAATTCATATCCAATGAACCTAAGGCTCACAGTGAACTAAGCTGCAAAAGCGTAGTGTAAAAAAGCTTCCTCGGGCCTTTCTTCCTTTCCCTTCTTTCTCTCTCCTTTCCTTCTCTTTCTCTTCCTCGTTTTTGGCCGGCGTTTTGCACATTGGTAACAAGAAGAAGAAGGAGAAGAAGAAGAGTAAATAGAAGAAGGTCGGATGGACAACTTGGGGATAAAAAATATGTAACTTTCCCTCTGTTTACCATTCACTTTACCCAAATCAAACATTGTAAAGTAATTACACTTAATTAAATTATAAGAAATCATACCAAACGTAGCCTAAATGGCATTGACCAATGTAAGACATGGAGAGCACATAGAGAAGGGATCTTTGCGAATATCGTGGAAACTTAAATTATTAAGTATTTTTTTGGATTATTGGCTTTTTTCATATTTAATGTAAAAAAAAATTGTGAGGTCAGAAGGAAAAGTAATGAAATTTTATGAGCAAGTTGAAAATAAAAATTAATACTAAATCCTTTTCTAATGATGACGCTAATTACAGGATTAGTTACTATAAAACAATGTTGATTTCGGAATTTATAATGTAATCATTTTCCTTTTAAAGGATGATGTAATCAAGTATCTTTAAAAGTGTAGAAACTATCAATGATATTGGCCTTCTCAAATTCTCAATAACCAATAATTCTTTAAAAGGTTAAAGAAGTATTTAAAAAACTAGAAATTTTTTTTTAAGGTTAAAAAAGTACCTAAGATTTTTAATCATTTAAGTTATTAAAATAATATTTAAAAATTAAAAAAGTATTCAAAGGTTCAATAATTTGTATGTAATATTTCATTAATTTGAGTTATTGGAATCACATAAAAATTATTAAAAATATTTAAAATAGATATAATATTTAAAAAAATCTTTAAACTATTTAAATAATTTAAATAAATTTTTTTTTATTACATTCAAAAAATCTTTATTCTTTTATTTTAAACTTACTAAACTCTTATCTATAATAGTTGAGAGCATTAGATGTTAGTCAAAATGAGGTATTTGTCATTTTATGTACATAACATGTTGACATATTAAAACGAATGATAAATTAATATGTGGATGTGGTACGATAATATTATTACATAGTAATTTCATTTTTTATATCAATGATACATTAGTACTTTGTGGATATAAACAGTAATTGACATTTTAATTAATGACAGTTAATTTACTATTAATCAAAATAAAAACAGAAAAATTTGATTTAATGCAATAATATAAGAGTTTATTTGAATTTTTTTAAATAATTTAAAGGCTTTTAAAAACATTATACCTTTGAAATATAATATATAAAATTTTAATGACTTTAAGTTACTAAAATCACATAAAAGTTTTTGAAAATATACTTAAAATAGTATTTAATAAGAGTTTATTTAAAGTTTTCTAAATAGTTTAAGGCTTTCTCAAAGCATTATACCTTCCAAATGTTATCGAAAATTTTAATGACTTTAAATTAATAAAATCACATGAAAATTTTTGAAAATGTACTTAAAATAATATTTAAAAGGTTAAAGTACTTAAGACTTGTATGTATATTTCACTAACAGCATAATGCTCAAATAAACCTTTAAACTATTTTTATTTTTGTATTTTTATTATTTAAAATGTCATTTATCATTTTATATGCATATAACATTAACATGTTATTAATATGAAAAATAAAAAATGTCATATGATCATATTATCATTTCCTATTAATATATCATGTCATATTAACATCAATTATGGTATATCACCATGCCAAGTTAGTGTCACATGCTATAGAATGACAAATGATTTTTTAATTAAGTAAATTATTAGTGATGGGGATTTATTTAACTCAAAATAAAAATATAAGAGCTTATTTAGTTTAAAAATAAAAATATAAAAATTTGATTAAATGCAATAAAAATATAAAGATTTATTTAACTTTTTAGTTTAATAGTTTTTTAAAATATCATACCTTTAACTAACTTTAATTTATTAAAATCACATAAAAAGTTATTTGAAAATTATTTAAAAGGATGAAACAAGGATCTAGAATTTCATATATTGTATGCAACGTTTCATTTACTTATTACTAAAAATTACATTAAAAGGTATGAAAAAACCATTTAAAAAGGTTAAATAATAGAAATTATTCTACTCGGCCAATTTTATCACATTAGAAAAATTATATTTAGTCATGAGTTTAAAAAATGTCAATAAATTATAAATCTAATGACATTTTAAAGTAATATGTATCATGTGATATCTTATTTAGATAAAAATTATAAATATAATAAAAAAGTATTTATACACAATAAAAGTTTGTACTATCACCATTATAAAACCTCATAACTATCAATGTTATAGACAATCTCTTATTTTTTTTCACCCGAGCATTTGACTCATTAATTGATACATTATTTTTCTACTTAAAAGAGTAGGGTTCGAATCTTCATTTTCTTAATTATATAAAAAAAACATCAACATTACAATCATTACTTAATTCAAAACAAAATAAATTTATAATGGTTACAAACCCATAACTGTTAACACAAAAAACTCAACAATAACTATTTAATTTAAAGTAAAATAAAATCTATTATAATTATAACATACTAGTAATTGTCAATACAATAAGGCCTATAGTAATTGTTTCAATAAAAAATACAGTAAAATCTCTAATTTTTATTGTTTAATTCAAAACACAAGAAAACTTCTAATAATTATTATATTAAATATCATTTCAATACGATAAATTACTTTAAATTGAACCATTCTTCAAATTCGTATCAACGCTACAAATAACGTAGAGTCCTACCTAAATGCTGACCGTGAGCATTCCTAAAAATGAAAGGAAATATCCATGATAATGACCAAAATTGAGTCGAAAATATATGAATAATATGTTAATTATTATTTATTAAGATTTTACCAACAAGTGGCTTAAGGATTTTTTATAAAATTGTTATATTATGTAATCTTTTTTTGAAAATCACTATATTATGTAATATTTTCTTATAATATATTAAAAATCATCATATTAATTATCAATTATGGCATGTAATTAAAAAATATAACTATGAATACTATTTTAAGTAATCTTAAAATGTATTTCTAAAGCACTAATTAGCAAAACCCTATTTATTTTTATGCTTCAGTTTTTATCTAATTTTATTTTTTTTAAAAGAGAGGTCGCAATGGAAATGATTCACAAGAGAAGGAGCTTTTTTCGCAAATAATACTTAAACAAGGGACCAAAAGTTAATTATCAAATTTGTGGCGGCTCATTCCACGCTCCACTATCCATGCCTCACGCTCTTTGCGTCACTCGCGTCGCGCAGCCGCAAGGAACGTAAACACAGTAACTGCGGAAAGCTCAAAAGGCCGAGCCATATTCCATTCATTTCATAAACCTCAGAAATATCTTGCTTTCTCAAAAACCCAATCGATGGCGCCCGATTCTGAGTCGAGTGACGGGCTTGTAGTTGACAACACTCTCCAGGCTATCTGCTACAAACGCGGGTCGCTCCAGCTGCTCGACCAGGTCTAGTTTTTATTCTTAATAAAGCCGAAGATCTTTGAAGTTCGATTATCTCGATACCATATTATTAGGAGTTTTCTAGTTGTTGGTTTTTGTTCTGTTTATTTAAATGTGATTGGTTGTTGAACAGAGAAAACTTCCTCTGGAAACTGTGTACTTAGAGATTCAAGATGCAACAGATGGATGGTAATGAGTAGTTCTCTCTTCTTGTGAAGTGTGTTTCCCCTTTTTGATTTGCTTTGAAATGTGCAAGTCAACTTGAATAACTTCTTTGATGATTTCAGGAATGCAATTCGGGATATGGTGGTTCGAGGAGCGCCTGCTATTGCCATTGCGGCAGCCCTTTCCCTGGCAGTAGAAGTTGCCAACTTAAAGGACTTTAACGGGACATGTGAAGATGCTGCTTCTTTCCTTGCAATGAAATTGGAATATCTCGTCTCAAGGTTTTTATCTATTCATTTATTTTCCTTAATATTTCTGGTCACGGCAGCTGCTAGGATCTGGGATTTTAGCATTCTTTTTGTATGTACTAAAAATTGCAGTACTCTGTATTTTGCTAGGGGTTTTTTAGACCGAAATTAACTGTATTTTCTTGCCTTTCTTTGAAGTGTAACTGATTATATGATTGTCTTTTATTTCCTTTTCAGTCGACCAACAGCGGTGAATCTTTCAGATGCTGCTACAAAACTTAGAGAAATTATATCAAAGGCTGCTGCTACTGCTACAGTGCCCGGTAACGTTTTCCAGGTGGGTATTCATATGGTTATTCTTCAAGCAATTTGTAGTTGACTTGTATGAATTTGGCTCTTCCTTAAAGTTTACTGACATGCATAATGTATCAAGCTCATAGTAACCTTCTTTTTTTTCTCATATTTTATTTTAGTTCTTAGCTCCTTCTCTCTCGTTATTGAAGCATGTCTTGTTTGTCCTCCCTATATGTTGCTTTCGTGTCAATCTTTATAGGCTTACATAGAAGCTGCTGAAGTTATGCTTGAGGATGACGTTGCTTCAAATAAAGCCATTGGGTCTTATGGAGCAAGTTTTCTCCATCACCTACAGAAAAATTCAAAGAGATTTTCTGTTTTGACCCACTGCAACACTGGCAGGTCTGTTAGTCTTTCTCCCTGCTATTATTTGTGTTGTAGTAACAGTAACATCAGCAAGAAAGAATTTGAGTTCATTCTTGGTCTAATTGCATATAAGACTGTTATAATAGTCATTTACTCTGTCTTGCAGTCTTGCAACAGCTGGATATGGTACTGCTCTTGGTGTAATACGTGCACTTCATGCTGAAGGAGTGTTGGAAAGAGCATATTGCACAGAAACACGTCCATTCAATCAGGTAATCTTTCTGTTGAAGTTGTTTGAGTATTTGAATAGTTGTCTCAAACTTGGTCCAACTAACCAACATAAGGACATCTATGGTGCTGGAAATGGCTGTTACATCTTCCAAAAAAAAAGAAAATGGCTGAGTGTTGATTCCTTCTACATGCTTATGTACCTGTTTAGCTTTTATGCTATATGCTATTTGTGGTTGGGATGATGGCTTTGTTAAACCTGAATAGGTCATTGAGCTTCTTGATGTTAGTTATTGATTTATTTACTTCTAGCTTTTATTTATAAGCTATGTTTTTCGTTGTATATATGATTCTGACCACAGGGAGCCAGACTCACAGCTTTTGAGCTGGTGCATGAAAAGATACCTGCTACTCTAATAGCAGATTCTGCTGCAGCTGCTTTAATGAAAGAAGGCCGTGTGAGTGCTGTTATTGTTGGAGCAGATCGTGTGGCAGCAAATGGTACTCCACGGCTGTTACTGATGCATTTCCCTTTAATGCTTTATGCGAAGTAAATTTAACTAATGTCATGTCATTCATTGAATCGCAGGTGATACTGCTAATAAGATTGGAACCTATAGCCTTGCCATATGTGCAATGTATCATCACATTCCGTTTTATGTTGCTGCACCACTTACTTCCATTGATTTATCTCTCTCTTCTGGACAAGAAATTATCATTGAGGAAAGATCTGCAAAGGAGTTATTGCACACGCGGGGAGGACTGGGAGAGCAAGTTGCTGCATCTGGGATCTCTGTCTGGAACCCAGCTTTCGATGTTACCCCTGCCAATCTAATAGCTGGTATCATAACAGAAAAGGTCTCTCTCTCTCTTTTGGTGTGTGTGCATATAAATACACATCACACCCATGCATATGAATCTATTTGTTTTTGTGCACGTATCCTACTAGCTTTAGCAGGTGTGAAAGCCATCAACCTAAGGTGAAAACTGAAGAGAAGGATCTATCCATCTTATTAGTAGTTTTGTCAAATAAATGATTCATTATTAGAGACAATACTAAAAATTATTTCATCCTGTATGTAATTTTCAATTTTCCAATGGATTTACATCTGTCATTAATGAGAAAATTTTGATGTACCCGGAAAAAGAAATCAGAAATGATAAAATACTCAGTTGTACTACATTCTGATGATTATTTTTTTATTTGAGCAGGGTGTCATTACAAAGAATGCTGATGCTTTTGACATTAAGAATTTCATAGAGAAGGCAACGGGCATGTATACTGTGTGAAGGAGGCATCTCCAGGTGGAAAAGATTCCAGCCTCAAAAATGGAGGTTAATGATATGTAAGTGAAAATCTGAGCTGACTGAGCCTTATGTCATAAGACATGTGGGAATCATTTCTGTTTTTGATGCCAAATTGTTGTACTACTGACTTTCTGAGGTTGTAAAAGTACAACAATATAATTAAATAAAGTAATATCACGGAGTTGGTTGGGCTTTGGTGGCAAACTCAGCCCTTTTGGCAATACCTCATTTTGGGTTTAGTATGCAGTAGCAGCAATGCTTTCAGGTTATCTCGATATACATGATGGACAATGTTCTTGCGTATACACAGGTACATAACTAATGCATCTGTGCATACCCCATATTACCTTCAAAAAAGCGGCAATGCACAGCTTAAGCACCTGAATCCAAACCTGAGCCGAGTTAACATTCATGACAGCAACCAAGCTAGCATTCTTGACAAGACAGCAAGAATTTAAAGCCATACTTAACTAAATAGACCTTAGAGATTTGGGAACGGTTTTCTATCAAAATTGTGACATAAAGAAAGAAAAATTGTCGCATCCAATAGTTAATTCACTAATCATTAAATCATAAATTCCTTCCTCCGAAATGCACCGTATACATAATTTTGCAGCAACTTGAAATTCACGGTTTGATTTGCGATAGGCAGTAAACCACGAGGTTCCAAACGTATTTTTCCCAAGAAAATAGTAATGGAAAAACCCCAAACCCTATTTTTTTTTTCTCAATTTGGCCCAAAAGCTATCTTACAAAGCAAGCGCAGCTTTTTTGGCATAACCTACCCGAAACGACGGGCCGTGGGAGGGCAGAAAAAACCAGCAAAAAATAATTAGAAAAGAAAGGGTATTTTGGACAAGTTACTCAGGTTTCTTCTTCCGCGAGTTAACTCGAGAGGGTCATAAAGCGCTTTGCATCGGGTGTCTTGGAGAGAAAGCTCTCTCTTCTCTACATCAAATCTCTGCATTCGAAACTCCAAAAAAACTAATTCCAAAAAACAGGAAAAAATGAGCAGAGGAAGTGGAGGCGGCTACGATCGCCACATCACCATCTTCTCTCCCGAAGGTCGTCTCTTCCAAGTCGGTATGTATATTCACTCTCCCACCTCTCCCTTTTTTAATTTTTTGTTTCTAAAGAATTATTATTATTTATTTCACTCAATGTTGATTTTTGAATGATATGAGCAGAGTATGCGTTTAAGGCAGTGAAAGCAGCTGGGATTACATCGATTGGTGTCAGAGGAATAGACTCCGTCTGCGTTGTTACTCAGAAGAAAGTTCCCGTCCGTGCTCTTCTTTAACTTACTTGAATCATCTGGGTTTCTTTTGTTTCTTTCATTTCCTTTTTTTTTTTTTGGGTATTGATAATTGATTTAAGGGTTTTGCTCGATT